TTCTGCAGGTGGGAAGCATCAGAGACCCAACCTCCTGTTCTGAGTTGCAGTAATCACTAAGTAGCAACTGCAGTATGAGGGCTAGAGAATGTTTTGGCCTTCATGATAACTTGCTGCAACTAAATCTGACAATGTAATTTCTACTCCTTAATAATCACACTTCGATTTTCACTGTTTCATAAGCATCCTGGAAATAAACACTAAATCCAGCCAGGTCTATTTGCCTCATGATCATTGGAAGCCTGAAATGACTTTTATAAAAAGGCTTATAGGCAAGCTTACAAATATATAACCAACAGTGTGAATCCCTCTCACCCACTGGGCAAGTAAATGCACTTGAGAAATTCTAGAAGGAGCCAGCCCTGTGCAATGGAAGTTTTGCCATTTACTAAGACAGTCCCAGCCTTGCTGTCAGCACGTATCCAGGGCAAGGGACAAACACCACCCAAAACGTCTGCTCCATTCTTCCCCTTCCTTCCTTCCCCTGAGCCGGCAGTGGATGGGAGACAGGCGCTCTCCCTGCTGTTCAGAGGCACAAGTGCCTCATTCCCGCATTTCCAAGAGCCATCGAGACCTGAAAACTCAACAGAGCTCTAACAGCTGTTTGAAGTCCATGCCTGTTGCACCCTGAACAGATGTTATCTGCCATGGATGTGGAGGATCACTAACAGATAATGCTCGGCACAGCCCACAGGGAAATGGGCTAAGTGGAAAGGCAAAACCTTACTGGAATAACAAGAAGCCCCAAGACCTTCTCAGCAGATCTTTGTCTCAGGCATGCAGCTGAGCACAATTCTGCAATGTAATGATGTGCTGAATTTTCCCCTTCCTCTCTCCCTCTCTGAAGGTCACACAAGGACAACCTTTCCTGTTCCCACTACAAGCTTCTTCTCTGCAGGATTCTTCACGCAGCAAGAAAGGCATGAGCCATCCCCACCCTTCACTTGCCCCTTTCAAGGCAGCAGGCTACTACAAGGATGAAATTTCAATAAAAAGAAAGTTGAGATGGAGGCAGAGGAGATCTCTCCTGTAATGTTCAGAGGAAATCATCCTGCAAAGCACAGGTCTTAATAAGAACTAGAATTAAAATTTCCTTAAATAAATATAAGGAAAGAGTCCATGAGGGACAGCAGCCAACAGGAACAGGGAGTTGTGCTCGGGTCAGCCTCCGTTGTCCATCATCTTGCAGATCTCCCAGGCAGACTGCGCCAAGGGCAGGCCAGCTTAGGACGGGACTAGCAGCTTTGTGTTGCTGCTATCGACGCCATCTGCAAACAGAAAGAGCTGCTGTGTCCCTGTGGTCTGGCACCAGTGCTACCACATGGCCCAACCAGTATCATACAAGAGCAGCACACCGCGGGCCTGGGAACTGGGTTCCTTCATCAGCCATAGTCAAATGGCAACCAGCTCACAGGAATTTGTCCGTCTGCATAACTGGGAGACAGAGGAAGGTGAGAAAGGAAGAGTCTGACCGACTGGTACAACTGTTCCTTCCCCTCTCTAGGAGCCAAAACATCCGAGTCAAATTGCACCACTGACTGCTCAGTTGGAGGGACTCTGCTTTCTAGTCATCTCCCAGGGGACAGCAGCAGTTCCTGCCCTGAGGGAGGTCAGGTCTCCAGGCTGGAATTTGGCCCAGTGCTGTGCTCTCTGCAAGGAAAGAGCATGCCCTAACAATGCAGGGCTCTGCAAGGACACTTCAGGAGTCTGGACACATGGAGTAGCTGCAACATTCATTATGGACAGACACTGGGTTACTTACATCCGCAAACACTTATCCTTCCCTCCACTCGCTACCCTCTGTCCGTCCGGGCTCCAATCTGTTGCATACACCTAGTATTAAGGAAAGACAGTTACCTCTGCTGGGAGGAGGAGTCGTTCCCGCCTCTCTCAAACACCTCGGCTTGACCAGACACCTCACCTCGTCCGCATGGCCAGGAAGATCGATGGCCAGTTTCTTCACCTTGGCATCCCAGACCTTCAGCGTGCTGTCGCTGCTCCCACTCACTAGCAAGCGGCTGTCGGCTGACCAGGCAATCTGATACACAGCTGAGACGTGCCCTCTCAGCGACGTCAGGTACCTGGTGCGGAGGAGGCATGAAGAAGCTATCAGAGGAATAGGCAGCTAGGTTTGTTCCAAACCTGCCCTTGCCCAGCCTTCATGTTTTTTCTCCACCTGTGAGCAAGCAAGCACAGTCATGGGATGCCCAGAACATCCCAAGCCAGCACACACAAGGCAGTCAATTGCTATACAGAGTCCATAGGTGGTTCAGTCTGTCTAAAAACCCTCCCAGGTGGGCTGAGACCCTTCTAGAGGACAGCTCTTCGTCTCAACTCCTCTGCCAAGAAACCCTTATCCAGCAGGCAACACTACAGCCTTACTGTACATGAAAACCAAGTTCATCAGTATAAAGGCTGATACATAGGGAAGGACTGCTGCCCCAGAGAGCTCACCAATACTCTATCTGAAGGTTAAAAGCTGGACTACACAAGCATCCAAACACCAACAGCACCACTTGTTCTGGATGATGCAAATTCTTGTAGTTACAAGCTGTTCTCTGGCACAGGAACCATTTAAACTGGGTCAGTCTACAGTGTGCAATGCACACGTTTTCGGAGATCAGCCGAGTGGAACATCCCATCCCACCGCAGCTGTGCCTGCCCCTGAGAACCAACCCTGCAACAGGCAGCATATGCCACACGGGTGCCAGGAGTGCTGTAGCTGGGTGACAGCGGCGTTGCACACACCCGGCCAAGCGCAGACCCCGTAACACAAGAAGACCCAGACAAGGGACTTCCCAAGGGCAGAGAGAGACAGAGGCAGCAGAATTACCCTGCATGAGTTCAGGCTACAGAAATGCTGAACACACTAGGTAGTTGCTGGCATGGCATTGGGGCCCACCTCTGCATAACCTGTGCATTACATGCAGACCCCATATGAGCACCACCCCTGTAACAGAACAAACCAACTCACTTTCCTGTCCTGCCATCCCAGAGCTTTATGGACTTGTCAAAGGAAGCACTAGCTATTATCCGGGTGTCTGGCGAGAAGAGAACTTGGTTAATCAATGCCTGGTGGCCCGTCATTCTCTCCAGTGGCTTCTTGTCTTCTGCTGGTCTCCAAAGGAACAGCGTGAAATCGTCTGACCCCGAGACAAGTCTTTCTGGTTCCTGGCCCTGAGAAAGGTACAAAAGAGCCCAAGTCTTGTACTCCAGGTGTGGAGAGCTCAAAGCACACCAGTGCTGGGGTCAACAGCCAACTGTGCACATTTACTGTTTCTACCAGTAACAGTGTTAGAAATGACAGTAGGGACAAAAGGGACTTACCCTGACTTGGTCATACCTCTGCTGTGCCTTGTCCTTCAGTTCTGCCACTGAAAGAGGAAAAGGGAGAGGGGAAGAAAGAGAGATTTGCAATCCTGAGGTGAAAGGAAACTTCATAACCCTGTGATGACAATTCCAATCCTGGCTCCGTGGGCCAAGCAGACGCATTTGTGACTGCTCACCCATTTTTTCTTTTCCCAGGGTGATACTGGGAGCAAAACCCCTTGAAAACAGAGTAGCCTTCTCATCCCCCAAACTGCTTGACCCTGCGCATGGGGAAGGAAGATTGTGGCTGCCAGCACGACCGAGACCAGCCCAGGACCTGCTCCCAGCTCTCAAGGTTGCTTTGGCTCGTGGAAGCATTAACAAGAGACATCAGGTCTCCTCGCTATCCTCCCCACCGCTTCCCCCAGCCTACAGCACAGGCGCAGCACTTACAGGAGCCGCTCACATCCTGCGGGTTGATGGTGGCTTCAGCAGGTTCGAAGGCACCGGTGCGGAGAACATAGTCAGTGCTAAGGGCCATGGTGTTCACCCAGTGAGCGTGGCCCTGCAAGGTGCGGCAGAGGACCCCCTGGAAACAAAACCACTCAAAGAGGGATGGGCAAGACAGAGCCAGACTGCACAGGATCCACCAGACCCACTGGGCTGCAAGGACCAATGTTAAACTTTCCAAATCCTCTTGCCCAAGCTGCAGGCAGGACTGTAGCCAGGCTTAGTAAGGGAGAAACAACACTGTTGAGCTTCAGGAACCAGTTTCCTGCAGGGCCTTGCAAGGAACCCACCAGCACTGGTCACTCCAGGGATGTTTCCAGCTTTTAGCCCCATTTTACGCTTTTAGGGATGAAAACATTGCACAACAGCTACCCCTTCCAAATGGTGTCAAGTAACAGGCTCTCACAGATCAGGAGGATACAGCACCCACTCTGCACTTCCATTTTCCAGGGCACAATCTGTGCCAGGAAGAGCAGACAAAGCTAGAACACAGCATGTCCAGCCCCCTTCGCCAGCAGCCCCAGGGCTGCTTGCCTCACTTACGTCCTGGCTCCTCCACACTTTGATGGTCCTGTCCTGGGAGGAGGAGTAGAGCAAGCCATCGCCCCCCCACTTCACACATGTCACTGACTGCGTGTGGCTCGTGAGGATTTTGTCACACCTGCCCATCAGTGTGTCCCAGATGCGGATGCTGCCATCCTTGGAGGCACTTGCCAGGTAACGACACTCCGGGTTTCTGGCCAAAAAAGAAGATCAAATCCGTTTGCACAGTGCACACAGCTCCTCCACCAAGTTCTTCCCCCATCAGCCACAGAGGATTCAAGGGCCTAGAAGTCAATAAAGACAACTTTGTCTCTTGGCTTAAGATCAGAGAGCCCAGGCAGGAGCAGAGCACTGATCTACAGACAACAAGATCCCACAAGACAGGGGAGAGGCAGACAGATGCTTCCCTCCAAAACAACTCCTGGGCTGCACACTGGAGGCATCAATCCAGGGTGAACCTGGCACCTGAGCTGTTGGCAATGACCTTGTTTTCACAGGAGGCAGCTTTAACCCGCTGGCTAACGAGGGGACCACAAACTGGCACCTTCCCCAGGCACTGATCCCCACTGGGCAGGGGGATCAGTCTGCCTTATACAACAGAAATGCGTCGAACGCTCCCCTACCTATGCCACGCTTCTCCTCTGGCAGGAAACGTGCCGGCCTGCGGACACAGAGTGCTGCTGTACTGGTAGGGCTGAAAGCAGCAACATCCATCTATATGGCTTATGGGGGCAAATTTAACACAGCTGGAAGCAGCTGGCCACAACCCTGCAAGGAGAGGGGAGCCTCTGTCCTTTGCACAACATCTTTACCACTCAACATGGTTTTAACGTCAAAGAAAGTGGTCCCAGCCACCAGCAGCAGTGAGGAAGAGCATGGCCCCGCCTGTTGAGCAGAAACCGAGTGGGGAGCGCAGCTGGCTGGAGACACAGAAGTGGAGACCTGGCAGGGTCATGTCCCTCCTCTCCATTTCCTCATCCTCCTTTATAATCAGTTTTTGCTAATCCAGTTAATTGTTTACAAATGGCTGGAGCTTCCTACTGGCAAATTCAGTTTGCAGGGCTCTGCTCTGAAGGGCCCCTTTTTCTTTCTTTTTTTCTATAATGTCTTGGATTATTGGCTACAACTGTCTGTCTCCACCCATCTCTCCCAAAGCTTTAGCTGACTGAACGGATAAGGGGATTGCACAGTTAATCAGCCCCCATGATAAATAAGCAGGATGAGAGAGGCAACCAGGATGCCAGAGAGCAGAAAGCGAGTGCTCTGCAGAGCCTGAGCTCGGCCACCATGCAGGCAGGCTTTCCTGCTCCCAGCTCAGCATGTCAAACGTTTGTCCAGCACCATGAAAATATTAAGTGTTTTTCATAGGCAAGTATCTCTCTTATACAGGGGAAAACAGAGGCACAGCCTGGCAGTGAATTCCCCAGCACCTCCAAGGGGACTGTGAACAGCGGCTGGGACTCCTGACTCCGAGCTAGATGCATTTTTCCCAGCCCATCCTGGGGACCGTTCTCCTGCACACACCCCTTCTTCCGTAATGGGAGAGAAGCAAACAGGAGCAGCACCCTTCAGGTCAGGCTGCTCCTTTCCATACGAGTAAAGGGGAAGAGCTGGGCTGGCCCTTCACTTACATGTGGAGCGGTTCCCAGCATAGACATGTGATCCATTTGGAGTGGCCAGACAGCACCCGTCCGATCTGATTGCCGGTGGCTGGGTCCCAGAGAAATATCTGTCCAAGAGAGGAAGCAAGAGGGTCATGTCAGGCCACACACATCATGTGAATCCCAGGGATGTTCAGGCTCCATTTAGAAAGCATAGGTGTCCTTGGGGTCGCATTTACATTGGCAGAAGCAGGGAGCAGAAAGGGAAAGGAGCAGGAGGGTTGGATGCCTTTCCAGATCCCTGCAGCAATCAGCTGACATCTCAAAGCATGAGACCTGATTGCCCTCCTCTCTGCCTAAAATGCTGCTGCTACAAAAATATCTGCCTCAACTCAAAACCGATCCAGGTCCCCAAAAAGCCAGCCTGAGCCTTCGACACCCTGTGCCAGAGAGTTAGTGAATGTTTGCAGAACATGATGAAAGCCAGAGCGCACTAAATGCTACTTATTATCGGATTCTGTGGGTGGGAGACATGCTGGTTTTCTCTTGTTTTTTCTCTCTCTACATAAATGTTCATCCAAAGAGCCAAGGCATTAGTCATCTCCTACATAAGAACCTGGGAGAAATGGAAACAGAGGACAAGCAGCTCCCTGGGTTACATTAAAGCCAGAATGGCACCAAACCAGGGAAGAACCACCCTGGCCTGTTTCCTTGGGGCCAGTATCAAAGCAGCCCAACAGAGTGGCTGCCCAGAAGCCAAGCACAGGACAGCCGTGCTTGGCAGCTCTGTGGTGGCTCTCGTTGCTCCCAGACTGTTTGAAGGTCAGTGCAAGTGACTGCCCCTCTGCAGCACAGCAAGTTACTGACTCACTTTCAGTTGCCCATGAGTGCTCCTGCTTCCCCAGGAATTTCTGCACGCACCTTAGGCACATGCATTTGACCCCACAGCTGGAATAGGGCCTCCTCCGCATTCCTATAAGAAGGAATTTAGCTGTGTCTGAGCGGGAACACTGCAAAACAGGCTGCCACTGAACGTCTGGGTCATGCAAACAGCAGCCCTGGCTTGGCCAGGCAATACCCTTTCTTGCTCCAGACACCTCCCTCGTGATGGAGCCGTCTGCCAAGGGCCACGTCCAAAGCCTGGACTCTTTCCTGCATGGAGGGAAGAGTGTCTGCCACAAGACAGCAGGGCTCAGCGGCGAGACTTCTGCAAAGGGGACAAAGCCAGAGCACTGCCTGGCAGAGTTCAGAGATGCCACCTGCAAACTGCTGCGACGCATGCACACACAAAGCTCCTCTGGGGAACGGGAATCCTGCTCAGAACAACTGGATATGCCCCAGAAAAAAACAAGTCTTTGCCCCTAATCCCCCACGGCCCCTTTATCAGGTTTAATTTCAGTTCAGAACAGGGCTGCAGAGGGTCTCCATGCTCCCACAGACCACCTGGTGCGGCTGTTGGGCCACCTGGCCCTGCACTGGGAGCCAGCACGTACCTGGCTGTTCTTGCAGCCCGAGGCCAGCTTCTTGCCATCAGGTGACCAGGCGATGCTGAGCACCCAGTGCCGGTGACCTGCCAGAGAGAGCGTGAGCAGGTGTGACTGGAGAGCTGTGGTCTGTCCCCAGTGTCCTGGCATGCAGCTGCCTCCAAGCAGTACCAGAGGTGAGGAGAATCCTCCATGTTCCCCCTGGCCAGACCTTCTTCCTCCACATCGGTATTCAAAGAGAGCCACCCCCTCCCTGAGCCACAGCCCCAGCCCATACGGCTCAGGCAGAGCCCAAGCTCTGCTCTGTTTGTCCCCCAAGCAGGCAAGGGGTCCCTGAGGGAGCCGGGTCAGGAGCTGCCCTCCTGGAACATTTCCTCACCCACCTTTGGCTGTGAACTGCGGTGTTTCCGTGCTGAGGTCCCAGAAGCGGACGGTGGTGTCTCCAGAGCCGCTCGCCAGGTACCTGGGAGAGAAGGAAGAGCCTGGCTCGGCGCCCAGGGAGGGGGAGACAGACTCCCACCCACAAACAGACCCTCGTACTTTCCCGTGGGACTGAAGGCCACGGAGATGACAGCCTCCGTGTGCCCCTCCAGGGAGCTGGTGCAGCGGGTCACCGCCCGCACCCACCGCCTGCGGCTGGTAGATGATGTCCAGGACCTTCTCCGTCTCCACCGTCTGCCCCACCAGGGTCTTCTCCAGCGACGCCACGATCTCGGCATCATGGACGAAGAAGGCCAGAGGCACCGGCTCATCCTGAGGGAGGAAGGGCAGGAGGG